TTTGATTTTCCCTCAAACAATCCAGAACACTTAGAATTAAGGGCAATATAACAGATTATGATCTTGTCACTCTAACTGATGTTGGAAGGTATAGAGGAAATGTTCCAGTGCTTAGAATCTTTACCTTCCAGCAAGTCTTTCAGAGTATGACCACTTCAGAACTGGAATACAGCATTAGCTTTGGAGTATAGAAGAACTGGCTTCAAAGACCAGCCCTGACCATTTCTGTTAGTGCTTTTCTGAAGCAAATGAGCCTCAATTTCCTCATCTATGAATAAGTAATATCTGCCTGGCACGACTGTTAAAAGGACTAATAGTGAAGGTAAATACATGTAAAACAGCTAGCACAGGGCCTGCCACAAATCCAAACTGTTTATCATGATGTGTGCTCTGTAAATTACCCATTTTTCCTAAAATCTTCCATTGAGTTATATCATGTGGAAATTATCATCTCTATTTGGCAGATAAAGAAACTAGGGCTTCAGCAAGGTTATACTCCAGATCCATAGCCACCAAGCCAGTTGGTGCAGATTGCCACCCCATATCTCCCAGCCTGGGTCACTGAACAGAGCTTGGGTAAAAGTCCCCTATCCTTCTCATCCTGTTGAACCTGGATAGGAGTTCCTGATTCTCATGAAAAGTCCTCAGGAAAGAGGAGAGATGCTAAGCTCTGCCCAGCTGTGAGCCTCTCAAAGACTTGTCACCGTTGGAACATTCTATGCTCATGTGCTGTACTGGAATTTGCTTCTAGAAACTCCATCTTATGTTCTTCATTTTGACTGAGTGACCTAGAAGGGAACTACATGAAGTTTATGTTATTTCATCACTTGCTGAGTAAGTCTAATATGCAACAGTGCCAGACCATGGTAAAGAGTAAGTTGTCTTTATTGAGATAATCTGCAAAGCAAGTCCATCCACAGGGCAGTTCTGAGGCCCTGAAATATGTTCAGAATTCTCTTCTCAGCCTCTACTTCTTACCAAATGCTACTCTTACACCTCACATAAATTCATTCGTCAGAAACCCACTGCCATATGACATTTCATTGCCATCCTAATTTCATATGGAAGAGGGGTGACCTATCCCTTGGTTAGAAAGAGTCCATGCATCCTTGAGCCAGTGAGAGAGTATCTTCATGGGTCCCTCCTACCATCCCACCACTTTGAAGGCCATGTTACCTCAATATTTATAATGCCTCTCCAGTTTGGAGGGTTGAATCTTGGAATAAAGCCCTTGAGGATGTCACACATAAACATCTTCACCCCAAAGTAGTAGAACATGCTGAAATACAGTTAGCCTAGCAAAATCTTAGCTCTGATATGTAAGGAATGCTATCATTATCCTAAAGAGTGTTCTTTTTACAAATATCAATGAAAAAGAAAATCATTTGGGAGCCAATATAAGTTGCCGTTGCCTAAGGCTGTCAAACAATGACTTGAACAAAATTAATTCGTCTGCAAAAAAAGAGGGAAAAAAAAGTACATAATGATGTAACACCCAATTTCCCCCAGCCTCCAAGTTTGAAGGCTCAATCCTTAATAACAAAAGAAAGCAAAATCCTTGTTATCCTGGAACTGTATGTCCTTATCCCTAAAACAAGGCTTGGCAATAAATAAATTACACACACACACACACACACACACACACACATATATGTATATATACATAATGTTTTTCCCTTTTGGAAAGGGCCAGATAGTACATAGTTTAAGCTTTGTGGGACATACAGTCTCTGTCACAACCACTCCACTCTGCCGTCTTCATGCAAAAGCAGTCATAGACAAAATGTAAACAAATGGATGTGGCTCTGTTCCAATAAAACTGTATTTATGGACACTGAAATTTGAATTTCATATAATTTTCACATGTTACAAAATATTATTCTTTGTTTGATTTTTTTCCAACCATTCTTTGCTTGTGGACTGTATAAAAACAGGAAAGGAACGAGATTTGGCCCCACACACTACAGTTTACCAACCCCTGCTCTAAGCTAGCATATATATTCAGGTGACCCCCAAGTCACCTGAATCTCTACCAACTCAAGGATCAGCTCAACAGAGCCTCCCTCCTAACTCCCAGTCTAGGACCTGAGTCCCAGGGGCCACTGCATGCACACTTCTCCAATGAGTGGCTTGCCTCATTAAAAAAAAAAAAAAAAAGTGGGGGCAGGGCACCTGGCTGGTCAGTCAAGTGGAGCATGTGACTCTTGGTTTCAGAGTGATAAGTTTGAGCCCCACACAGGGGGCAGAGTTTGCTTTTTAAAAAAAGACCCAGAAGACTGGATTATAGAGTCAGACATTGATCTGTTGCTTACCGTATGCCATCCTCATCCTTTCCCCCATCCCAAGTTACTGATCGCATGTTTCACATTCCTACAAATAAGTAAATTCTGCAAGTTCATGGTCCTGAAACAGCAAGCAAGGTTTCTACCTCTCCACCTCAACTTCAGCTTTTACTAACTCCCTCTTTTCAAAACAACAGAAATTCTGGAGAGTTACAGAGTTAATATTCTCATCCAATAGAGATCAGAGAATGTTTCCATCATCTATCAAGTGATTAAGACTAAGAACTGATAACTTTATTCATTCATTTCTAGAAAGTAACCACTCCAGGCATAAATAAAGTAGGATGGATGGAGAAGAAGAGTATGAAGCAAGCTCCTAACAATTTAAAATTTTTGTAGATCCTCCCATTACAGTGTTAGCATAATGCAACACTGTGAGCTGAATTTTAGTACTTCCTCTCCCTTTCCCTCCTTTCCAATTTCTGAGACTTAGAAACACTTACTTGGGATGTCACACATTGGGAGAAGCGATTTCACCTCTCTTTCTGATAAAGCACAAAAAGGACATCCAGCTTTTTGGTCGAGGATGACCAGCCTGAGAATTTCAGATATGAGAATGGAAGTCTACTGCACACTGTAGCTTCTAAATCATCCCCATGTCACAAAGTCCACAGTTTTATTCTGGGGCATTCCAAGAGACAGAGGGCTATCTTTGGGAACACCGTTGTGGCTTTATGGAAAGTCATAACTGATCGGGACAACGTGGCTCTTTCTAGGGTAATGAACTTGGGTTTGCACACCCCAAACTGTGGGCTGTTGCTTAAATCCTGGCAGTGATGGGGATGTAGGGAAAACAGTTACCACAATTTTCAAGACTGCCCACCCACACAAAAATCCAACAATGCACAAAGAACTGGCCATCTCCATGGCCACAGACAAAGATACTCATTTTCAAAGCTGAAGAGACCCAACTTCAATGCAAAGTGTTACTTTCTAAGTGGATCCTAATTTGAGCTGTTCCCTTTTCTGGCAAGAATTTCAAACATTTCTAAAAGCACGTAGGTAATCTTTGGTTTTATGACAGAGACCCTAAAAATCACTGCAACTTATAATGGGGACAGGGGAGGGAAAGCACGACCTCTGTGCTCTGTGAAAACAAGCCAACTTCTAAATATTATTTTGTATTCCAAATGTTAAAATAAGATGACCAACTGTTCTGGCTTGTCCACAACTGAAGGGGTATGTGGCCACAAGACTTTTGGTTTTAAAACTGGGATAGTCTAGGGGCACCTGAGTGGCTCAGTGGGTTAAGCGTCTACTTCGGCTCAGGTCATGATCTCACAGTTCATGGATTCGAGCCCTGTGTCAGGCTCCATACTGACAGCTAGCTCAGAGCCTGGAGTCTGCTTCGAATTCTGTATCTCCCTCTCTCTCTGACCCTCCCCTGCTCACAGTGTCTCCCTCTCTCTCAGAAATAAATAAAAAACATTAAAAATGTTTTTAATAAATAAAAAATACTGGGATAGCCTGAGCAAACCAGAAAGCCCTGATCACCCCAGAAAATCTTCCCTCATCCAGGTCTTTGGATTTTAAATTCAACATATCAGCCCAAACACTTAGTGTGAGGGAGGACACAGGCCCTACACCAAAGAAACAACATGATTCCTAGCAGTTCTACTGAAAATGACTACTGAGAAGCTCAAAAACCACTAGTAACAGAAATACTACAGATTATCTCTGAGCCATCATGGAGAGTCATTTATTTGTGCTATTTTTAGCTAATGCATCATGTCTAGAGCCCAAGTAAATAAGATGTGGGGGAAAGTTACAAAGACTCTGATGAACTCCTACCACCCAGAACCCAAAACCTCTGTCAGCAAGAGGGCTCCTTTCAGAGGCATTTACAAGCCACAGAGAGTTTTAGAGACAAACACTTTCAAGACTAGGGCAGTCCTCTGCTATCACAGCTGAGTGCCATACTCCTCCCAAGAAGGGAAGTCACTGTAACCCCCTGTGATATAATTACAATGAAACCTGGACCCATTCATTCCCAATCAACTAATACCTCCAAACACCTAGAGAGCTGTTTTCTACCTGTTAGACCTTAAGGAGGAAAATGACAACCAACCAAGTTCAGTCAATACCCAATTTTAAAAACTCTGTGATGTGTTAGACAAAGATTCAGGTCAGTCATCCATACCTTCCTCTTTCTCCAGTTTGAGCTCCAGGGCTCACCACTGGCTTTCAAAACAATGATCTCTTGCTTCTAATGGCCTAAATTACTATGAAGATGGTTTCTTTAGTCCAGTGAATGACTTGCCTACTTTAGAAAGACTTAACTAATTGAAACCAAAAGAAAGTTATAAACATTCTTGACTCTTCTGATTGACCAAAATTCTCCAAATCCCACTCTTATTTTGTCACAGCTTAGTCAGGTCTGACCCACCCAAGTGGCTGCTACATAATACACAGAAATGTTCCAGAATTATAATTCTAGTAGCTATTGATTTTCATGTAGGTAGAAGATACAATAATAAATTAGACACTATACCAAGATATCAGAGGCATTTCTTCGGGAAGGTGTTAAGTTATTCCATCAAAGAGACTGATAATTCCGAAATAAATAAGTAATAATCAAACAGACCTTTAAGAGTTGAGGTGGGGGGAGATGGCAAAAATGAACTAACAAAAAAACCCCTACAAAACAGGGTTCCCTACCTTCTTTTTGGAGTGGCTTCTTTCCTCCTCCTTCGTGGCTTTGCTATTTTTCCCAGCACGGGACACCTTCTGGTCGCCAGACTGCTTAATGGTGATCTTGATCTCAGGTGGGCATATATAGTTCTCCAGATTCTTTGGGGGTTTCTTAGCCCGCTTGGTGGTCTGAATCTTCAGCTTCAGACTCCCCTCTGTAAAGTTCGCCTCCTTGATAGAAAATTCCTGTTCTTCCAGGCCATCTCCTGCAACCCATTTCTCACTGTCTGCATTTGAGTTGGAATCCACATCCTGCCCTGAGCCCAGTTCATCCTCCTCCTCTGGCTCCATGCGTTCTCCGCCCACTGGGATCCCCTTCCCAGGTCCTGGAGTGGAGAGCAAAGATTCTCCTGCACAGCCGGGAGCAGTCGGGGGCTTGGCCGAGGAGACAGGAAGGAATTCCGACTCATCCCCCCTTTGCCGGGAGCTGCTTAAGATTTCCCTGGACTCCATGACAATCCTACAGTCTTCAGGAGTTCTCAGGAGGTGGGAGGGAAGAGGGAGAAAGGGAAAGGTGAGAAGCAAGGACACCCCAAATCCCAAGGACAAAGTGGTCCAGCTGCTGGGTTCAGAGTCCCGGGAATGGAGACACGGCCAAGTGTTCAGAAGAGGTCAGATCTGCAACTGAGAAGCAGAGCGATAATTAGTCATGGCAGGAAGGAAAATGACCTCAAAAGTAACTCAGTGTAAGTTCTAGAAGCCCCTTCCCCCTAATCTATGGCATCAGAGAAAAAAAAAAGATGGGAAAAAAAAAAACCAAACCAGAACATGCACATCCCCAAATTGGATTATACTGGATAATATTAAACACACACACACACACACACACACACACACAGCCCTTCACTGAATAGTTACTTTTTCTAGTTATGGGCCCAAGAATAAAGATATGAGCAGCTAGTCCTCCAGTTCAATATAAAGCTACAAGTTTCTTATACTGCAGCCACACAGCTAGCTGAGTCACCATCAAAACCAACCATGATGAAAGGGAAGTCTAAAGTGTTGAGGTAGGTCTGTGGGAACCACGTTTGGCTGGCTTCTTGCACCACTTCCCTCTGACATGTGAAGAACAGTTTGCAAAGCTCCACACAACCCCTGAGCCGCTCTCCATCATCTGGTTGGAAGGACATTTAGCTAACCTCCTGACCATTCTTTCTTTCTCATCTTCCATGGTAAATTATTTCAATTACACAAAATTAGCTTTATTTCTTAAAACAAATGCAAAGCTTAGATGCAGGCTTGCAAGAGGAAAAAATAAAGAGTTCAGCGGAAAATCACTTCTAATGCTGTGATTAATGCAAAACAATGGCTAAAAATGTTTCTGTTCACACAAAAGATATTTAATCATTATCAATTATTTAGATAAAAATAGCCATTTGAGACAGCTTTAATTCCCTTTCTGGTCCTTAAATAAAATGGCATTCTGTCTACAGGACAACAAAAAAGGGAAAAAGAGAGAGGGAGAATTTCACAGACTTTTGGAAGTGTCAGGAATGGTTCTCCCCGCCCCCTGCCCCTAGGGTCTTTGATTCTGCCTTCCTCCCAGAGGAAACCAGAAACATCAGTCAGGTTCTCTTCAGACCATCATAGGATCAGCTAAACCATTCCACACCCTTATTCACTGTATATCCCATTATACCCAGCTTCAAGACCCCAAAGGAAGTGCAGTGCTCATCCTCAAGAGAAAACGGAGAGCCCCAGGGCTGCACAAAATTTCAAGACATTATCTTCTTCCATCCTTAGGCTGTAGGTGCGATCACACTCAAGCCTTAAATAGCTCAATAGGCTAAGGTTTCCCAGCAGAAGACACTGCTGCACACCTTCCACCTTGGAGCCCAGCAATTCAAGGTATTAACCAGCAAATGTGCCCACCAGAAAATGCCCAACAACAACTGCGAAGACACATTCAGAACAGCCAAAAGTGAAGCCTGGAGACCGGGCATGTCTTTTCTCCCTCTGGAACCAGTACATTTTCGGCTGACATCGTGTGAGGAAACTGGCCAGCAAGGCAGCCATTCTCTGCTCCCCAGAGAAGCCCAGGCGCATACTTGGCTCCTGGAAACGGCTCAGCCCTGCAGAAAGACACATTTACAACTGCTTCCTCTAAGGGGAAAACCCAAGGCGCACAGCATTTCTGGAAGAGAAGAGCGTCTTCGCTGAATCTGTCACATGAAGACTGAGCAGCCACCACAGAAGGGGCAAAGTCCCCACTTAACGGCAGGGGAGGGCAGTTAGACCAGGTGACACTTGAAGTTTCTTTTACTTGTAAGATTATTTGTGTCATCTAGACTGATCTGTCTACCTCCCTAAAACTTTATATAATTTTTAAAAAGTCAACATTCATTGAGGCCTCTCACTGGTGTCGGGTACCATACTAGCTGGTGAGGAGACATCAGGATGCCATAGAATGTGTCCCTGTGTGTCAAGCAGCAATTGTCCAGTAGATCTTTCTCAGCATGTACCCCAGGTCCATCCAAACTGCAAGCCATGTTTTCATGTGGCAGTAGTGTTCAGTGGTTTGCTTCCTGTGGCAGGAATCTTCAATGTGACGTTCAATAACTCTGAAGTTATTCTCATGTCAGGGCAAAAAGTGAGTTCTCCATTAAATGTTCCTAAACTAAACTATATCTAACTGGACCTTTGAATGTCTATTGCAGGTTCTATGCTGTGATAAAAGAAGTGAACACACTACTATTCAGAGGAATGAATAGTAGTGTGAAATGGTATATTATTAAGAAAATCTTTCCCCTTAAAAAATTTCCTTCAGAATTCCTTATATTTAATGGTATAAATCACGAATTAATTGACGTCAAAGACAACATTCCAAAACTTAAAACTCAAGTTGTGAGAAGTCCACAAAAAAATGAAAATTCAACAATGTATTTATCAGTGCTCTTCCAGTCAAGACCCTAAGATAACAACTGAAATACAATCTCTTTCTTCAAAGAGCTGACATTCTTGAAGAGAGATTTGGAAAATAACTAAAACAGAGTAGATATTTATATGTCCTATAGTAAAGAAGAGAAACAAAGGGAAGAGAAAACGTTTCCCACTTCGGTGAGGTACAGAGAAATAGACGGGAAACTATACAGGAAGGCTTCAAGGAGGGCACAGAATATGGCTTTGACCTTCAGGGGCTTCAACAGGTGGAGTGGGAATAGGAAAACCATGGCAGACATAGAGAAGCACGCAGGGCGGCCTGGGGCAGGAGCCTGCAGGAGGGTCATGCTCAAGAAAGAGAGAGTTGATGCTTGACTGGGAGATGTGGCACAAAATGGGGACTGGTGAGAGGTAAAGCTGGAGATAAAAGGTTACAACCAGATGACAGGACACCCTTGAATGCTATGCTAATGAGCTGGATTTTATCTTACAGGTAATGGAAAGCCATTTAAGGGATGTCAGTAGGAAAGGGGTACTATCAAAGCTATGCATTAGGAAGATAATTCTGGCATGTAGCGTAAGGGGTGAATTAATGGAACCTGATATTAGAGGCAGGGGGACCATAAGGAGGCTCAGCTGAAATTCAATTCTTCTTGCATGAGGACCCGAACCAGGGCAGTCTGAGTATGACATGATAAATAACAGAGATCAAACAGTAATGCAGTTTCAAATCATCCCAATGTCCAGGAACACATCACTTCCAGACTTTCTGTACCAGTCTCACTTTAAGAATCCAGTCTTAGGGTTCATTAGTCACCAACTTGCATTCCCTGTTCAAATCAAACCAGTCTCTACTGTGGCATTACAAACACAGAATTCTTCCCACCTTGGTATTTTTATAGAATCATTTCTTACATCCCCTTCCACCGGCCCATGCAATGACTGGCATACAGTTGGTCCTCTCCAAGTGTTTGTTGTGTGAAGGAATGAACAAACAAACACACAGATCCCAACCTTCCCATAGTTCAAGGTCATGCCCAAGCCTTCGCTTCTCCATGGCAACATTTTAAAAACCCTGGACTGCAGCACTCCCTCCCTGGCCTGACTCACACTGCACCCAGCTGTGTAGCTTGCCACTAAATAGTAGTCTTGCATGGTCTTCTTGCTGTTTGGAGCACACAAATCTTCTTTTCCTTACTCAATCGCAATTCAGTCTCAGGCTAAGACTGACTGTGGTTGTACAACCCTTACATTCACTTCAGCACCCAGTGCAGGATTGAGCACTTGAAGGGCTTCAAGTTCTTTCTGAATGAAAATGAATTAGGCCCCTGACAGCTATTCAAAGTCCTGTGCGGTTCCAACTACTCCAACTGCAGCTTTGCCGGCCTAAGCACCCTCTGACAAATTCACTGTCTATGCTAAGGATTATAATCTAGCCCCCCATGTCCACATGCACCCCTCACCTTAAAAAACTAAAGAGGCTTTCAAAAGTGAAGAGCAAAGAAACCCAACCTGTCTGTTTACTTCCCCGCACACAAAGCTGTTGTTCTCCTTTCCCCTTCTCCCAGCACGTACCTGCCACCCCAAATTCACCGTTCACTTTTTTGGTGAGCCTGGGAGACAACTGAGAGTTCTCTTGTGGCATACCCCTGCCAACATGGGAGCCTGAGCACACGCACCCACTCGTGCACTCACAGAGGAGAGAAGCCAACGCAAGGTGAAAACCTTTTGCCTTGTCACATTCCAGCAGTCAGCGACTCCTCCAGAGGGGGCGGGTGCACAATGGACACTCTGTACTTGGCTCAGGCTCCGAGTCCAAATAAAGTTAACCCTTCGGTGGCTTCCTGCAAGACCTGGTGGCAGGGCATAGGAGTAATAAAACTTGCTTAGGAAATAACTTCCCAGCAGGTCCCACGGAAACACAGGGACAAGAAGGGTGGTGATGTACTTGGAAAGAACGCTGGCGGAGAAGTCTGGGAACCTGCCCTCGACTCATGGCTCTGCCGTTCACAGTGACTGTTACGCCACTTTGAGTCCTTTATTCCACACTTATCTCAGCAATGAATGGAAGACGGTCTCTTCCAGACTCGAGACTCTAATTTTACCCTGCACAGCCACAGATCTATAGGAACACTCCACATTAGATAGTGTGGACCTTCAGAATTATTTCTCTGAGAGAACAAGGAATCCTGGGTGGCTAGATGTGTCTAAGAACCCAAATGAGTCCCAAGGAAAGCATCCTCTCTACCCTTCAAATCTGCAAGATGGAAGAATTTTTCCTAACTCTGAACCCTTGGGGAACTCTTGCTAATCCCAGAGTTTAGCTCCATAAATGCAAATTCTTGAGCTCCACCTATTGAATCAGGGCTCCAGGAGGGGTGGGGTCCAGCCCTCTGGCTTTTCCCAAGCGCTCCAGATGATTCTGACGGGCTTAGGCTTTGCCTGATGTATGTACTTACTCCTACCTCCTTCACCAATGAGCATGACTACTCTGTGTTTAAAGGTATTTCTCCCTTACACCAGTATTCTGAGTCTCTGAATACACAAAGGTTGCATTTTATTCATGCACGCAGTCCCAATGCCTAGCACAGAGCCCAACACATAATGGACGCTCAAGAAATGTTGGTTGACTGAATTAATAAATGAACAATCCAACACAGCCTGGGTTTCCCAACATCACCCACCTCTCCCATCTGCTCTGCTCCCACTGCACCACCCACATGCAGGCCATCATCAGCTGGACT